TATGACAACAGCACGTTCATCAGCACTCTCGCCACACAGGTGAGATTTCAGTGAAGAAGGTGCTGCATTTTATAAACCATGTTGTTGAGCCTTTCTTGCTAGGATGGGACTGTGTGCTGAAAAGTTAACTCGAATCATTTGAGGATTGCTTTAAACAATTTAAGTAAAAAAAACAGAACAATATTTATGAGTACTGTAAACTTTTTCATTTGAATCACTATAAACTATACTCAAATACATTGTTTAGTTAAATATTGAAACCTAAAATGAAACATAAAATTAACCCAAGCAAGTCTCTAACAGTTAATTATTAGCTAGCATATCTGCACATTGTAATCAAAAAACATCACTGCATGTGCAGAGTTATAGCTTTTCAAATAAAGTAACAGTTTTTCAGTCACGGGCTCATCCTCAACATAAACCACAAGTTCTACACTTCAGTACAGTGGTAACCTCCCAAAGGTCCAACATAACAAAAACTTTAAAATACCAAAACTGGAAATAAACTGGGAACCCAAATTCAATTTAAACTAATTATTTGCTTCATTTGGTAAATGAACAGTGTCAGGTTTTTTGTCCTCCCTTTCACATCCAAAAAAAATGTAATAAAATAGTTGGGAAATTTGAGTTGTGAAATTACATGAAAGGTTCCAGTTTCACGCCCCATAGAGTCACTTCAGATCAAAGTGTCATGATAAAACTAGTGATATTTTCATTCATCTGGTTTTGAAAGTTCATGAAGCAGTTCATCACAATTCCTTAAGAAAAGTTATTTTCCATTTCTTTTGATTTCAAAGTGGGATCTGGTATGTGATAACAAAGGTCTGAATAAAGCTGTGACCTCCATCTTCTTTGTCGGAGTGATGTTTGGAGCAGCTTTTTTTGGAGGCATGAGTGACAGGTGATGTTTCAAAAAACCAACTGTATATTATGATAAATATTATGAATTATTTGCATTTTATGAAGACCGCCACAAGCATGAAACGTTTTGTATGAATAAACCTATCTTCTGTTTGGCATGTAGATTTGGCCGTAAGCCGATGCTGCTGGTGTCCTGTATATCAGGAATGGCTTTTGCATTGGCCAGCATCTTTTCTTCCTCCTTCATCATGTTTGCAGTGCTGAGATTCTTTAGTGGATTCACTATCACTGGCATCGCTATTGTCTCAACCGTACTCAGTAAGACCCCTATCGCAGGTCCTCAGATTAGGATTGAATGTGAATATAAAACAAAGTAAAATGGCCTTACTGTATATGCGTATCTTTCCTCAGATGTGGAGTGGGTGGACATTAAGCACAGGAGGCTTGTATGTATAATTGACAGTATGGCATGGTCTGTTGGGAGCACCTCATTGTCTCTTATTGCATTCTGTATCAGAGACTGGAGATGGCTGACAGTGGCTGTCACTTCACCTTTACTGCTATCCACAGTCCTCTGGTGGTAATGGACCTTGCATATTCTGTCAAATTAAAAT